CTAAAACAGATTTACCACAATCATGGGGACAACCATCAAAAAGAAGTGAAGACAAGTATAAAAAAGGAAAAAGGATTTGTGATTTATTCCATGTTAAAAAGCCAAGACTAGATATACCTGATATTAGTATTAAATCAATTATTGAAAATAGTGACTTATTAGCATTGCATATATTTTTAATTTCATTGAACCTGTTCTCATAAATATTATTAAAGATGAACACTTTCTAATGAATACTTTAACTAAATTAGAAATGTTTTATTTTAAATTTTATTTACCAACTTGTGTACATATGAAAAATAATGAAGTTAGTTGTATTTAAGTTAAAATGTTGTACTCATATTTAAATGTATGCTTTACTTTTATTTGATTGAGTTATTTATACTTAAGTTTAATATTGTTATGTTGCTTATGTAATTATGTACTATAATATCAGTAACCTTATTAGTCCATTTTTAAATAAACGTATTAGTTGTTATTAATGCATAGGTAGGTGGTAAAATAACAAAAGCTGAAATTAAAACATAAATAACAAATTTAATAGTATAATATATGTTTATAAATAATTACATTGTTAAATATTTTTTTTATTAAAAATAATAACATTAAAGACAAGAATATATTTTTAAAGATTATTCTAAATATGATTTTTTTGTTACAGTACATTTATAAATTATGATTATATTTCTCACATATATTATGATATATATTAAGCTATAAAAAAAAGAACAATAAAAGCAGATTGAATTTAATAATGGTACATAACTATTGTTTTATTATTGGTGATTGCATATTAATTATGACACAGCACATATGGACAATATTGTCAATGTATAGTAAAAGATCAATAGTGACTTTGTTAAGGATACCAAATGTTTTTATTCTAGCAAACAACCGTTCAATGTGAATCCTAACACTGGCAATGTYATAAGTCTCAAGAACTTCACTCTCTGTGAATTTAGCATTGTATAAAAAGGGAGGCATTATTAAGATTGCATTTTGCTGATCACAATTAGTTTTAATCCCGGGAAAACCTTTATCGGCCATTACTTCATCACCAGGTTCTAACAATGATAGAAAACCACAATCATTGGTTATGAAGGAGTCACTGGATCTTCCACCATAACATTTGGAGACAAAACTCACCATTCCATTTGGCGTTATTGCTACTTAAAATTTAATAGTATAACCCCCTTTATATCTAGAATATAAATATACTCTCTGTTCAACAGTGTTAGGTTGTTCCACCCGAATTTCTGTGCAATCTATAATGCAACGACAATGTGGATAATTTTTTTTGAATGCCTCAGGTAAAAGATCTGAAATAGTTTTTTTACTGGGCCAAAATATAAAATCTTTTGTTTTTGTGCTTAGGGTAGTTAGTACATCAGAAAATATTCTTGTAACTGTTGTACGGTGTATACCAAAMATTACAGATAGAGCAGAATAGGTAATACCCAACTTCAATTTCATTAAAAATAATAATAATTCATTTTCCTTAGTAATTGAAAAACGTTTACTAGGGGGCATTAATTTCAGTAAAATATTAAAAATAGGAAAAGTAGTGCCAGTTAAATCTTTTAGTGCATTTTCAGTTTTAATGGACTCAAATCCATGAAAAGCTTCACATGACAAGCATGATAAACTATTACTAGAATCTACACCACAAGCTTTATCAGATAATTTACATTTGGTAAAATTAAGATTACTATTTGAAGTTATAGGTATTGATGCTTGAGTTGAAACATTATTGCCCTCAAAAGAACAGTGGAACGTAAAATCTTGATTATCATCTACATCAAAACATACTTGAATGCTAACATTAACTGAAGACATTTGACTTGTATTTTCAGGAAAAATTAAATCACCGCTAGACACTGCGTCCGGAACATTTTTAGATAAGTCCATTTTTTTTTTATTTGCTGCTCTGTTATATCTCTCTAGTTGTTGTTTATGATTACATTTAGTTATTTTATAAGCTTTAGGAAATATTGATGGTACATATGATGGGCTTTGAGGATCATTTGATTTTTTGTTACCGACAAAATGAGTACTGCAAATTCTGTTATGAGATTTTGGCATCCATAATACTCCATTTTCGCTAATTAAAAATAAATATTAGGTACATAAATAAACGGATATGTTAATTAATTACATACTCAAGTCTATTCACAGCTTTAATCCATTGTGATTTTAGTGCTGTTTGATAAGATCTATTTGGAAACTTGTAAAATACTATATTATTTGATGTATTTTTGTACGTGTTGTTGCAATTAACAACACAACAGTTTGAATTGCTATTTCTTTTAGTACTCATAGTGAAAATAAAAAACAAAATTATAAAATAGTGTTATGAGCACAGAAAAGAGATTAATGTATATTGTTATTATATAATTCTATGATAATATTATATTGAGCATAAGCCATAAAGTTAATTGAGAATGGTAAGTATAGGTAGTGTATTAATAGTACCTAGAATGATATGGTCTYATATTGTGTATACTGCCGATAGTGCCCGTAAATACCACCCGAGCGTTAGTAGTCATCATGCACGGTGTCTATAGGATATTAGATGGTTTTTTGTTTCTATCTTCTAAATAACATAATTTAG